CTTCTTCGGATGCATATCCGAAGAAGTGGGCTGTAGTCCATGAAAGCTTATGCTCTAATAAATTTGTTAGTCTCTAAGGTGCCACAAGTACTCCTGTTCTTCTTTTTGCGGATCCAGACTAACACGGCTGCTACTCTGAAAACGTGAAAATGAGCCTTACTAGGCTAGATTCCCAAAGGAACTTAAATACGGCAAACGCTGACTGTCACTACATCTAACTCTCACTGCCCAGGGGAGCGCACTCACTCCCAGGCTACAGTGTCATTCTCATGCTTGTTCTCTCTCTGCCCCAGAGATTCGTGCATTACTTACCTAAAGTGAAACGGCTTCAACACTGGACCAGAGAGAGAGCTGTGCAAGCCTGAGAATGACTTTGTAGCCTGGTGGCTATAGCATGCATGTAGAAGATCCAGTCCTCCTGCACCAAAGAACTTTAAAATTATAAATCCACAGATGAACTGCTTGAACAGGAGAGACTGGGGGAGGCCCATGTCACAATATCCTGCAGCCCAGGGGCTAGCATGCTCACTTGAGAGGCACCAGATTCCTCTTCAAAACCCTTCCCTCCCTCATGTGGAGGTCCCATAGGAGTATCCTAATCACTGGGCTAAAAGTGACAATTCTTCCACATTCCACCCACCGCCGGTGATTTTGTTTAAGATCCCTATGGGGGTCCATGGGGTTTGTGAGTTCTGAACAAAACTTACAGGATCAGGTCCCACACACAAGTTAGGTGGAGGAATGCCTATCTTCCCCCAGATTGTGGCATGGGGCTCCAGTGCACATGCACAGAAAAAGAAACAAAGGTGCCTATGAAATGTTTACTGCAGACATTAAGGTACCGAGTGAGTTTAGGTATCCACAGGGTTCAATGGCAGCTGAATGGGGGCTTTGTGAATCCCCGTAGGGCCTGATCCTGGGATTTAGGCACTTACTTCTTTCTGTGAACCTAGCCCTATGTTTGTATGCGTAAATGACTACCCAACGTGCAGAGCAAAACAGAATGAATGTTTTTGCCAGTGATGGCTTCTTAATCTTCTGTTGCTATTGCAAGCGACACCAGAGTTTGTTATAAATACCATCCAGCCTTCTCAACTGGTAGAAACCAGACAAGTAAGCAGAGGTGACACGTTGGACCAAGCTTTGCTGCAGCAAGATTATTAGGTGATTTTGCTGCCAGCCTCCCTCCGTGAGTGAGATTCTCACTTCCATTCCAGCCCCTTTGCAGCAGGTAAAAGGGCCTGAGCATACCCTGTTTCCCCGAAAATAAGACAGTGTCTTATATTAATTTTTGCTCCCAAAGATGCGCTAGGTCTTATTTTCAGGGGATGTCTTATTTTTCAGAAATGAAAAATGCCTTATTATC